ATTGGAACATATTGTTACACGAGCATTTAGCAAATGACGGTTTTGTCAGAAACTATGCTGATCACTGTGTATATAAGAAACAAGTTGATGATAAAATTTTTATCGTCATTGTTTGGGTTGATGACTTAATTATGGCTTCAGATAGTATGCAGTTAATGGAAGAATTTAAAGAAAGTATATGAAGACACAATTTAAGATGAAAGATCTAGGTAGAATCACTTTCTTCCTGGTTTACTTCATAAGATTTATTCACTACAAACTTGTTTCGTATGACAAGCAATGCTTGCCACACTCATCAGGTGAAATTAAATGTCGCGCTATGTTGTTGCCAAGGTTATATATACCATATACATGTTTGACGTAAACGGAATGTTCAAGTATTAAATTACGTATAGATTACGTAATCTGTATATGTAATCTATACGTAATTTAATACTTGATATATATATATATATATATATATATATATATATATATATATATATATATATATATATATATATATATATATATATATATATATATATATATACAGAGGATATTACACGGCGGCGCGAAGATATGACTTTTATCTTCGAGTGGTGAAAACAGTATTTTACGAGAGAGCGCAGCAAATATTGTTTTTAACACGAGAAGATAAAAGTCATATCTTCAAGCAAGCCACCGCATAATGTTTTGTTTATTTTATAGTCCCAAGCAAAAAATTGTCAAAAAATTTGTCAGACGTTTCGCCGGTTAGGGCTTCATCAGTGATACAATAAATCTTGAATAATATTTTACCCTATATATATATATATATATATATATATATATATATATATATATATATACACAAGTCCACCTAATTATCATTAATAAAACATACATATAATCCGCCTAATGAAAAACGAGCTTTAACTAAGAGTGAAGGTGAAAGCCTGCAGTTGAAGCGTGGCGTGATCGATGAATGAGTGGGTTTCGTCCTGTCCAATGAAACACAAGTATTACTCACAAATACAAACGTTGTCCATAAATGCACATGGTCTCTGAGCCTGCGATGCGCTAACGCAAACTCGACTATTTCTCGACGACGAAAAAAAAACACGAAAACCCCCCCAGAAAATTAAGGTTTAAGACACTTGGCCTACAGGCCAGTGTAAATTAGGGACCATTCACAAAATACGTGACGCTGTTTTTGCTATTTTTACCCCCTCCCCACACTCTTGTGAGAGTGTGTGACAGCTAGCAGTACACCCATCATAACATACGTGACTCTGAGCCAACCCACCCACCCCCCTTCCCCAAATATACTCACAAAACACAAATTTAATATCAACTAATATGCAGCAGCAACAGATTCAAAACGTTATCTATAAAACGACATTATTTCAATGCCTTACTAAACTTCGGCCTAAACAGTTTCCCCCTCAGGTTCTCGCTGGTTGGTTGAATAAACGGGAGTGCCGTATTCCATGGCGATGTCAGGAGCAACAGCAATATATTTTGATAGAAAACACTGATATGTCATCTAAGGGACACATATTTGCAAGCACGTTCCTGTTTCGTTATAGGCAGGGATAAATTTCCCCCTAATTTTTCACGTGATACCGCTTGTGGTACCCTCTCCCCTTGTGACACTATGTGACTCCTGATCAAACACCCCCTACCCCCACGAAGGGTAGGTGGGACTAACACAACCATCAAAACCAACGCTCATAATATTCCAGTGTAAGGTTGTGTCGACAAGCTTTGTGGTCAGATCATGCCGCTTTCTTAGTCTTAATGACTATCAAACTCATGTTATATATTTAGGGGCCAGTATTACGAAAGTCACCGAACTGTGGAATCGCATCAAAAATTCGTATATCGACCACTCCCACAAACGTCTACGACCGCGCCTACATATTCTTGCATGTTTACAATTCTAATTTTAAACAGCCAATCGACGTTTAATTGTAATTGTTACCAAGAACTTGATTGGCTGTTCAAAATTAGAATTGTAAACATTCAAAGCTATGTAGGTGCGGTCGTAGACGCTTATGGGAGTGGCCGATATACGATTTTTTTATGCGATTCCACAGTTCGGTGACTTTCGTAATAAATAGAATTGAGAAATGCTGTACATGTCATGTGAATTTGACCACTCTGGGCTGCTGAGACCCATAGACTCACAGAGACTCAAGGTACGTTTACACGCACGCTGCGATTTGTCGTGTACGATTCATACCCCAGTGTATGAAATTTGTTTAGTTTACGAACAAATTTGAATTTTGAAATTTAACTATTGCGCGTACATTCGATTACATGCGCCCATAGATATCTTATGATACACTAGATAACGCATCTCTTTTAGTAAAATTGAAGCCAAGAATATTCCAGCGGTTACCCCCATTTGAATATCTATGCATACGCCAGAATACAAATCGTGCATGACAAATCGTAGACTTGCTCCAAGTCTCTCTTTGTGGACATCTATATATTGTACATCTATATTGTACGTTACATACGTCATGTAACGTACAATATAGATGTACAATATATAGATGTCCACAAAGAGAGACTTGGAGCAAGTCCAGAGGAGCCAGTCAAGACAAATCGTAGCGTGTAAGCCGGCCCATCCAGGAACGTTTTGAGATCAGTTGTAAAAGGCTGGCATCGAACGGCTTTATGGGAAAGGAAATGAGCATTTGTCAGTGCTCTCACTTTTAAGGAATTATCCTTAAAAATAGGAATTTTCAAGAGTTTTAAGGATTTTTTTAAGGAATTTAGGTTTTTGAGGATTTTTTAAGGAATTTCCGAAACATTTTATCCTGGACTAAAAACGTTGGACGGAGGATAACCACGCCACGCAAATGAGATTTAAACTTGAAAGTAGCAACATTATACGCACATAATTACATTTAGTATAATTACATAGGTGATTATTGAAAATTCTCCACGCTGATTGGTTGCCGTTGAGGAGATTATTACGCGATAATCACCTAAGTGATTTTCAAGCCGAAGCCTTTTTGTCAATTAAATGACAAAGAAATGTGTATTTTCTTATTTTTTTCCAAATAATCACCTATGAAATTATACTAAAACAATTATTCACCTCAGGCTCGGTGATGATCGTGAATAAAAACCTCGACTTCGTTTCGGTTTTTATTCACCGATAATCACCTCGCCTTCGGCGAATAATTGTTAAATATTCGTATGTTCTCTATGTCATAAATGTTCGGTGTTCCAGTACCAATTTGGTTCCAGTACCAAATAACACAAATCACACTCATATAACGTAATTGTCATCATAATATAATAGTATATGTTTCTGTACATGGCTTGGCATGTGATTTATAACAAAACTTAAAACAGTGTTTTTTGAAACCCTAGTTTTTTACAAAATGTGTTCTCAGAACCCTGCAAATGCCATTTCCGGCATTCAAATTTTAAAATTTTTCACGAGCTTCCCCCCCCCCCCATATTTCGTAAAGTGTCCGCTACTGGTCTTTTCATTAAAATTCTCAAAAGTTAAATGTCAGTATATGCTGTTTCTTCTGAAATCTACAGATTTTTTTACGCTCTTCATGCAGCAACAATCAAAAATACATCATTTTGAATGTTTTCTTTATGGCATTACGCTAACAATCAAATGTTTTCAAATTTTAGTGCTTAGAAACAAGGTTATAAAAACTGAAAAACAGAAAAAAGGAGGAAAAAACACTTTTTGCAACTGTGTGATCAGGCCTTCTGATAATTTTTCCAATTTAAGGAATTATAAGGAAATCTGAGGAATTTTCGAGCTTTTTCTAAGGAATTCGAAAATTTGATTGTGAGAGCACTGGCATTTGTTCTTTTTGCTGATTCTGTACTTGAAATCAGACGTTCTCTCGATAGTGCGATGGGTTTTGGAGATTTAAAAGCAAAAGCTGGTCAACAGGCCTTAAATGACTACTTGGCTGATAAAAGTTACATCGAGGGGTGAGTATTGAGTGTTTAAACTGTAAGATTTATTGGGGTTTTGGTTGTAATTTTGCCCATACATCGGCACATGAAATTATATGGCACGTGTACGTCTGTACAAACTATGTAAAAAATTGGTATAAATTTGTACTTAAAATCTTAAATGTATTTTAATAGTAATTAACATACAAGAATGTACTTATCTTCTGAAAGGAATTATTCACATAATTAAAGTAGCTCTATGATACCTAAAAATATACTTCAATGAAAAATCAAAAGAAACAAGTCATTAATTACATGGAAGGGGGAGTTGGTGAAAATGAGACGTTCACATTTTGTTAGTCCCTCCCTCCTAATTGACGATTTTACTTGTCAAGGGGAGAGTGCTGCTCAATGGATTCAATTCATGAATCCTAAATTACCTTAATTAATCATTATTTTAATAGATATCAGCCATCACAAGCTGATATTGTAGTCTTTGAAGCTGTTGGTGTATCACCTTCTGCTAATCTTGCCCATGCTTGGAGATGGTACAATCATATACATATACTGTCATGTGGTAATGACACTTCTGGTTTCACTGGAGTGAAAAAACCTTTGTCAGCTTATGGTCCTCCTGCCACTGTGGCAAAACCATCAAACGATGATGATGATGATGACGATGATGATGATCTTTTTGGAAGTGATACAGAAGAACAAAAGGTATTTGGAAGGGTTCACGTCAGGCTTTTAGTCAGAAGGGCTTCCTGGCAGGGCCGCATTTACACCACTCGGGGCCTGTGGCATTTTCTTCGCGTGGGGCCCCAAATTTTTGCCTTCTCTATGGACTATAACCTGGAAATTTACCTCGTTTTAAGCATAAATCGTAGCGACGTGGCGTTCGCTTCGCATATAGCAACTCTAAAGTCCAAGACAAAATTAGAGACAAGAGTAGTATATATTTAACTTGGTATTTGAATTTTTTTATTTATAATTACTATTATATCCTTGTGGCATACAGCTATTTCAATCAAGGTTGTCCCCGAGCAAAGCGGAGAAGTCGAATACGAGCGCGGAAGGCTTGCTGGGAATCCCTAACTGAAAATCCATTAATTTATTAGCAATTTCCATCGAGCCTTTCGCGTTCGTATTCGACTTTACCGCTTTGCTCTGGGACAACCTTAATTGAAATAGCTGTATATAAGGGGCCCGGCTAGGCTAAAAATATAAATAATAATTAATAATATAGCATCATATACTTCTAGCCTAAATCGCGGGGCCCTGGAAGGCGCGGGGCCCGTGGCATATGCCGCATCTGCCACTGTGTAAAACCGGCGCTGCGTCCTGGGATGCCCCTAGAACAAAAAATGGACGCCCAAATTCTGGGGAAAGGGAAATTATTTTCAACTATTTCCCTAAGTATATTAATTATTTTCAACTATTTCCCTATTTTCAACTATATCTGAAACGAAATAGCTTCAATTCTCATTATTATTAGGCATAGTACAAAACATGGACTGGACTGGACTGGACAGTTGGACTGGACTGGACTGGACTGGACAGTTGGACTGGACTGGACAGTTGGACTGGACAGTTGGACTGGACTGGACAATTGGACTGGACAGTTGGACTGGACAGTTGGACTGGACAGTTGGACTGGACAGTTGGACTGGACTGGACAGTTGGACTGGACTGATTTTTACATTTTCTCTATTCTTGTCTTGCATGTCAGCCGCCATGTCAGGTGGCATGGCACAAAAGAATATTTTATCACAGAATAAGTATACCATGTCATGTCTATTTTGTGATTTTATCGATGAACATTGTCTAGTGTGTACCAGGAGGAGATTGGTTTCAAGTCAAGAATATAACGTTTTGCACCTGAATTACTTTTGATTTTCGGAAATTGAAATACTTTACCTTCGCCGATGACCTCACTTTATAACTGGAGTGAAATCTCTTAAAGCGAAAGAAACCCCAGTAAGTAGAATAGAATACAATACCAAACATAAACTACTTATCTGTCTTTGCTATGGGTAGCCTGCTCGCATACGTATTAAATTTCGATATTTCAGTCTGCATGGCCATGGGCATAGAAAGATAGATAATTGGCAGGGGGGGGCAGGAGCTCATATTCATATATTTGTGGTCTGCATCATTAACTTCTTTTGAATTTGATTGTTTTTACAGTCTGCGAACATGAATATATGAATATGAGCCCCCCCCCACAAGATCTTCTTACGATCATGGCAATACGTATCCGAGCAGGCTACAAAGTAGTTTATGTTTGGTATTGTATTCTATTCTTCTTAGGGGCCGACCATTAACTTTTGAGGGGGATGGGGGAGGGGGTGATTTCCTGCAAGGCTATTCTGAACAAAAGAAAATGCCTGCACTAACAAACTGGGGGAAAAAATATCCTGCCCCAGTATTTGGTGGGGGAAAAAATGTTGCAAAATAACATGGTTGCAGGGATCGATTTGACCAGTCCCAGAAGATCAGCTGGTTTGATTTTCGGAGACTATAGTGTAAGGTTAATTTCTTGTTGGAAAACTCCTGAAAATGCTGGAAATAGCTTATCTGAGCTTCACAAAATCCACAATTTTCTGGGGGGGGGGAGGGGGATGCCCCCAGACCCATCTAGAGGCTTGCACCTTCGGTGGTCGACTCGGTTGTCTCAGAATCCTAGTTAATATTGGCCTGATCTGCTGCCCTATGGCGTATACTTATTAGTTAAACCATGCATATATATGCTGGTAGCTGCAGTGATACAGACTTGCCGACTGGAACTTCTCCAGGTCCCCCGCTAAATATGTCCCCTCCAGTTACACATCCGTAAAGTCGGTAAAGAGGCCCTGAACCAAATCTTATACCTCATAGCAATATGTATTATTAAAAGCAATGCATGAAGTTAGAAAACGCAACGTTAACTATTATTAATTAAAGAATCTAAATAGTATAAGCTATTGAAAAAAAATGTTGCGAAAAAGAGTGGCAAAAAATATCGTACATGGCATATTTATTCTGTGATAAAATATTCTTTTGTGCCATGCCACCTGACATGGCGGCTGACATGCAAGTCAAGAATAGAGAAAATGTAAAAATCAGTCCAGTCCAACTGTCCAGTCCAGTCCAGTCCAACTGTCCGGTCCAACTGTCCAGTCCAGTCCAACTGTCCAGTCCAGTCCATGTTTTGTACTATGCCATCCACACCTCATAGTATGGTGGGCGGCATCAATTTGACTAGGGCTTTCGGGCAGGCTCTACTTATAAAAGAGCCGGCCACGCTGGCTAGCTATTACATAAGGCGTGTCTGTATTAATTTGTCACATTGTATTTTACATTTGATTGACAACACTATAAATAGTGATGGGCACATACGCATTTTTATTGACTAAACCGGCAGGCTCTAATTCAATTCAAAGAGCCTGTTCGCAGGCTAGTGTCATGATTTTGCTGTTTTTGTTCAATATTAGTTCTATATCACACATTGCATTTATCGTATTAAACTCAAAATTTGTAGTTGAGATACAAAATTTGATTTATTTGTCAAGATTTGTATAATTTAGAGCCATATGGTTCGAATATAGTCATTGCTGCCGAGCGTAGCGAGGCAGCACACTATTCTTGACACGCGGTGGTTTCTCCAGAGTCCACTCGACCACAGAATCAATCTCGTACCCAGAGCCATCGTTGACTCTGGGTACGAGATTGCCACAGAATAGGAAGGTATAACAGCTGAACAGGGTGGACTTCCGTCTACGCATGCGCGAGAAACGTAAGCGTGGACTACACGTGAGCGCGGGTTAATCGCGTGACTGAATTATAAAAACAAACATCAAATTTACAAAAACTACTCGTGTTATGAAGTCGTTTTCTTGTTTCTTTAGTGTTTCTACGCTCACAATTTTAGGCATTTCCAACTTAGAAGTGTTTGCTTTGGAATAAGAACGTGAAAGTAAAAATAAAAACTTTGTTGCAGCAGTTTAATTTCGCAGTGCAAATATACCTGTTTTTAATATGTATATCCTTTTCGAAGTGAGATATACAAGTGCAAATTGACCTTCTTTAAATTCGTACTTGCCCTATTTTTCACTCGATAAAAACTACTTTTATCGATGGAGAAACTATTTGACTCTAAAAATAAGCTTGAATTTTTGTGGTGATATAGGCTCATTTCTTTGCAAACAGTGATTTAGTACTCGGTAGTGTAGTTGTTGTTTATGAACAAAAGTCTAAAATGAATTCAACATCCGTCAACAAAAAGGAGTCGCGCTTATTACTACTCTGTAGAGGATAGACAATTAATTTAACTCACTAGGAACCCGTTCTACAATATAAACTAGAAATCGGCCAACAAATTGCCACGAAATACTACAATGAAAATAGGGTCTCTGAACTACCAATTTCACCAAACGGTCAAGTTTCTCTGCAAAGATCGCCCCTTTGCCCAATTTTCCTCGAGTAGATCATCGTGTTTTTAAGTCAAGGATTATGTATACTTTAACATAAAAGAATAAAAAAAGTGGTGATAAAGGGTAGATTTTGAATAAAATACGAATATCTGTGTACAAGATCTGAGCGTCATTATGAAGCACTCGATACTTTTTCCAACAACATATTGCGATTAATTTTTTACAAAATTAAAAATATTCACACATTAAAGATATGAAAATGTAGCTTGCATTACAAAGAAATGTTGGCTTACCTAAGTTATACCTTACACGTCGATTAAAGTCAAGTAAAGCCCTTTCAAAGACGCCTGTCACATTAAATTACAGGTCACATGGCGGTAGAGAACTCGACGAAGTATTCACGATATTTCATAGCCAGTTTAAACCCTGCTGTGCACTATTCCTGTGAATTATGATGCCCAACACACCGGGTAACAACATTTACCACTTTGTTCGGCTGTTCCAATTACACTTTTAAGATACAAGGTCCGATTATATCATGTTCTTCAAAGCATCTGCTCAAAACAGTCCAACATAAATGTCGCCACTCATCTTCTTCGTATGAAAATATAAGTTTTCCTTTCAATTGCTTTGCTTTAAAAACGGTCATTAGCTTGTTGAAGAGTTAGCCTGCAAGTTCCAACGAAAAAACCCCCGATGCTTTCAAAAACCAGTGAATCACAAAGCTGTAAACTTCAACATCCTTAGAAATTGTAAGCAAAACATCGAAAAGCAAAATTTGCGGGAAAAAGCTCACGAGCCCGCACTATTTTCATGCAGCGTCGACGAAAGTCCACCCATTGAACTAAAAATAACTGGAACGCTACGTTCAGTAAACTGCGCATGCAAATTTTGAAGCCAAAATTTGACTCCCATGAAGACAAATGAAGCCAGTTTTGACTCCCAGACACGCACTTCCACGCGTGTTTCTACTGCGCGATTTACTCGCGAGACAATGCAGGGGGCGCTCTGAGCATGCCGTTTTGAACGTTTTCATGGCAGGATGCAAATCGAAAGGTAAACGGGCCTTTTCAGTTTAAAACGGGCCTTTTAAAGCCTGTGTACGACCTTGTAGAATTTAGCTTCAAATTTCCGCTTGAACGTAGCGTTCCAGTTATTTTTAGTTCAATGAGTCCACCCCATTGAACTATAAATAAACTGGAAGGCTAACTGCTATGATGAAGGCCTATGATTTGATGAAGCCAAAATAGTTTTTCTGAGTTATGAGCAGAAATACTTGACCACAAACGTCGGGCTATATATCAAATTGAAGCTATTGAAAATTGCTATTCGGTGTGGAAATTTCAAGACTTCAGCGAAAAGAAAAATATTTAAAAAATACAAAAACAACTGCAAAACGGCAAATTATCGGTAATTATGTTTGTAGTTTTTCAATATTTCCCTTTTAGCTAAAGTCTTGAAATTTCTACACCAAATAGAGTTTTTCAATAGCTTCAATTTGATATATAGCCCAACGTTCAGTGTTGAGTATTTCTTCTCATAACTCAGAAAAACTAAAATGCACTGGCTTCAATTTCCCCCCCTGAGTTAGCCTTCCAGTTTATTTATAGTTCAATGGTCCACCCTGTTTTGGAAGGTATAACTTCTTATTCTGTGACTCGACCCAGTCTTTCGCGCGAGTTATGTATTGTCGAGATCGAGATCTTGTGTCTGTCTGTCTGTCTGTCTGTCTGTCTGTCTGTCTGTCTGTCTGTCTGTCTGTCTGTCTGTCTGTCTGTCTGTCTGTCTGTCTTGTCTGTCTGTCTGTCTGTCTGTCTGTCTGTCTGTCTGTCTGTCTGTCTGTCTGTCTGTCTGTCTGTCTGTCTGTCTGTCTGTCTGTCTGTCTGTCTGTCTGTCTGTCTGTCTGTCTGTCTGTCTGTCTGTCTGTCTGTCTGTCTGTCTGTAAAGATGTTTGTCGTAATCGTAATCCGGGGGAATCAGGAACGTTTGTTACAGTGAAAATACAAAAAGTGTCCCGCTTCTGTAGTTTGTTGTGATTTACTGTAATTTCACTAATTTGTTCTGTTTTTCTGTAGCGATTACCGATTTATCGGCAAATACCGCGATAAAACTTAGTTTTTTCTATTTTTAAATATGATAATTTGTAGCAAAGGGAAATAATACATTTTTCGTTAGTTTCATCATAGGCAGCCCAGCAAAATGTGTAAAAATGCATTAAACGCTTAAAAATACGTATAAAGTTCGTCACAATTTGCTATCAAGCGATTTATTTGTGTAGCTCATTATACATGCAGATTCCGATGTTTACGTCATTGTATTTTTATATAGTATATTATCCTAAGGCGGGCAACTCTTTTACAAAAACATTTACACACACTAATACGCTCGCTTCAAACAACAACAAAAACCGCTACTTTCTGAAAACAAACTACCTACAAAACACCTTGGATATTTTTTCTAACTTTATTCAAACTTTTTAGAGTTGAAAAAAGTTTAGAAGTATTTAAATTTCATGGATAAAAAGTGGGTTTTTATCGAAATTATTTTGTCGATAGGCGGGATGCAAAATGCACGACAAACGTCATCATCGGAAAAATCATCGGCTTGTTGCTTATTGGCTGTTGAAAAATCGGCAAATTCCGAAGAAAGTTCATTGACTGAAGTATATTATATTCGGAATTTGCCGATTTTTCAACA